TCAGCACCACATACAAACAAAGATGTTGTGTCTGCTGAAAACTAAAAGATAAATATTAAAATTTWAAAAAATAAATAAATAAAATGCAAATCCTGGTTTAGTAGTTCCAGAATTATGGTCTGATTATGTGTTTCTAATGAACTGCCAGGCAATGCAGATTCTGCTTGCCCACAGACTACACTTTAAGTAGCACAAGCTTGGAGAGCATGGTAATATGATTCCCTTGCTCAATAAAATTGGTGGGTGTGGTGATGCATCCCTGTAACCCCAGCTACTTGAGGGTGGGGCAGGAGGATCCAAAGTTGAAGTTCAGTCTGGGCAACTTAGCCCCTGTCTCAAAATAAAATGGCCAGGGATGTAGCTCAGTGGTGGAGCATTCTTGAGTTCAATCTCCAGTACATATATACATATATAAAATCATAGGCATCTGCTGGGCCTATGATTATATATACTACACCTGAAATACTAGAATTTGGGAAGCTGAGGCAGGAGAGTTTTGAGTTCAAACCAGCCTCAGCAATTTAGTGAGGCCCTAAGCAAATCAGTGATACCCTGTCTCTAAATAAAATATATAAAAAAAAAAGGGCTGGGGAGACTGGGGTTGTGGCTCAGCGGTAGAGCACTCGCCTAGCTTGTTCGAGGTGCTGGGTTCAATCCTTAGCACCACATAAAAATAAGTAAATAAAATAAAGGTATTGTGTTCAACTACAACCAAAAAATTTAAGAGGTGGGGGGTCTGCGGATGTGGCTCAATGGTTAAGTGCCCCCCTGAGTTCCATCTCTGATACAAACAAACAAAAAAACATATAGGTTTCCTCTTTTCCATGTAAGAAGATCCCCACCCCCACCCCCTGCCTGGCATCGTAGAAATGCCCTCTAACATCAATGGTTCTCAAATGCAGTTGATCATCTGAATGACCTGGGGCAGGTAGAAAAATCTACAGATTCCTGGATCCCACGCCAAACTTATTAAATCACAATATTCAAGGTGACATCTGCATAAGGGTATTTTGAAAACACTTTCCAAGTAGCATGCATTGTAAACAAACTTTAGGTTTGCTTTCAATATAGTTTTCCATTATTCAGTCAATAAACATTAATTGCACCTGCCCTAGGGGGAAAAAGATGAAAATAGTGCCACCCTTACCTTTGAGGGGTTGGCAAGATAAATGACCAAATGATTTAATATTTTAAATTAATATTTAATATTCCCAATGCATAAACACATCTGCTAAAGGTTTTGTCTTTTGAAGAATGTGTGGGTTCTCAGTACCCCATCATTGCTCATCTTGATCAAAAGGACAGACAACCTCCTTACCCCATTGAGTTTTCATAGTTCTCTCTTTGAACTTGCTCTCCTTCTCCTTGGTATTAAAATAGACCCAGAGAGGAACAAGGATTTACCCAAAGTGAAATAAAAACAATATTTCATATTTATATGGAGCYTTCCACGTCCCTATTGTTCTACGCACACTACAGATGTAATTTTAAAAAATTCTCTTAATAGGCAGATATGGTGGTGCACACCTATAATCTCAGCCACTAGGGAGGCTGAGGCAGGAGGAACCCAATACAAGGCTAACCTCTGCTGGGTGAGCACCCCTGAATTCTATCCCTGGTATAAAAACAAACAAACTAACAAACAAAAACCCTCCCAATTATGACATAGGTATTATTACTGTCCCTACTCTGTAAACAAGAAAAGGGAGAGACAAAAGAACCAAAGGCAGATATGCTGATGCTAACTCACAATAAGGGGGCGATACCCAGGGAAGAAAAGAGTTCATTTGAATTAGAGGGGAGGGAAAGGAGGAAAGGGGTGTGGGGCAGGAAGGATAGTAGAAGGAATCATTACCCTATGTGTATACACAATTACATGACGAGTGTAACTCTACATCATGTACAACCAGGAGATTGAGAAGTTATACTCCATTTATGTATAATGTGTCAAAATGCATCCCACTGTCATGTATAACTACTTAGAACAAAAATAAATAAATAAAAAATATTTTTTAAAAAACGAAAAGGGAGAGACAGGAAAATAACCCACCCAAAAGCATATCCAGCAGGATTTACTCTTAAGCCTAGGCTGTACCGCCAAACTTGTGACAGCACTGAAATTAGTGTAACTTCTAATTCCTGGGTCTGAGCATCTTCCCGGTAACCAATCATACGTGTGCTGCTTCACACCTCAGATTCAAGCATTAAGGAAGGATTGTGTTGCATCACTCACAGTGCCTGGTAGGGGTGCAAGCACTTAGTAGGCGCTCGATAAATGGTGAGTAGATAGGGTGAGCCACCGTGGAAAGGGAGGAATGGATGGATGATGATTTCAACCAACCAACCAACCAAGCAACAGCCTGCGGCCTCGCTACCACTAGATCGCCCTCCCCTCCCTTGCCCAAAATAGGAGGACCCTCCACCCAGTTCTCCTTCTGAGTGACCCTCATCCAGCTGCGGCTCTGCGCTCTGTCCTCCCAGCCAGCAGGTGCCCCCAGGCCCCTGGCTCCTCCTCCTCCTCTGTCAGTCTCGTCCTCTCCCCCTCCTTCTGCTGCTTCCTGTTGCTGCGGCCCGGGCCTGGGTTGTGGGCGCCGAGGCGCCGGAGGCTTCCCGGTGCGCTCCGCAGGTAACCGCGCGGGCTAGCCGCCCGGCGGGATGGGTACCGGCTGGTTCGGGCGCGGGGGTCCCAGCCCKTGCGGCCCGCGGAAGGGACCGAGGCGGGCGGGCGGCAGGGCCGGCCTGGCTTCGGGCCGGGAGGGACTCCTCCTGCCCGTGGGCGCCGGGGCCTCTGCGCCAGGCTCCGGGCGCCCCGCCGGGTGCCGGGATAACGGTCCAGGGCTCCCGGGCTCGGCGCCGGGCGTGGCCGCCTGCTGCAGGCGCGGCGGAGAGGGGATRTCACGGCGCTCAGCTCGCAGCCGGCCACGCCTGCTCCGAGAAGGAGCCAGCCCCGTGCCCTCCTCGCCTACCCGGCCTGGGGTGCCCGCCGCCGCAGAGGAGCCTCGGCTTCCGAACCGCCAGGGCCATCSAGAGGGACCCCCAGTTCATCCACAACGCCGGCACCCAGACACGCAGCTCCAAGGTCACAGAGTTGCATCTGCCAGTTACAAATGTCCCTTCTTTGCTCTGGTGTGCCAGGGAATTAGGATTCAGAGAAGAAGACTCTAAAAATACTAATCGCCATGTCCAAACTGATCCGCCTTACTGGCCGTGACTCTGGCCTTCAAAAGGAAATAAGGGGAACCCTTCTTTTCATTCCGGATACTTTGTCTTTCTGTTCCTTGCTCTGAAAATTGGCCTTGAAGTTTTGCAAAATTTGTCTTAGAACTCCATGTCAGAGCTGGACTGGACTAGAGAGTTCTCCAAGTCCTTTTTTTTCTTTCCTCCCGKTTATCTTCTGTTTTGTTTTTGTTTTAAAAACAGTCTCTGCCGTTGAAGTGATTTGCCCACACTCATGCTGCTAGCTCAGGGCAGAGACCCAATGAAACTTAGGTCTTTGATGGACACCTGCTGTTTTCTTGAATGGAAATCTGATTTCAGATGAAAGCTGTACAGAACTTGACCTTCATAAAGTCCTCTCTGGATAACATTCTTGGGAGTGTCTTGTGTATTGAAGTGTGTTGGTCCACAGATACTATTTCACTTGTCAGAATAGGGTTAAGCACTAAGAGTAGCCATGCAGAAAATTCCTGCTGAGATGAGACAGATACCTGAAATATTTTTGACTTTTTTTWATTTGTATTTTCAACAGAGGAGCTAGTGAATATTAATAATGGCATCTTGGTCATTTTTGGATTTTATTTCTGTATGGCCAAATTCACTCAATAGTTGTTCTTGTCCAAACTTATTTAAGTAAAAATTCCAAAGTGTAACTTTATGATTTTTATTTCATTTTTTTAACTGAATAATTGCCTTACAGGTATTTTTACATCTCAATAAAAACTCCTCTTGTGCCTCAGAATTCTTGTTCCCTAGTGGTTGAGTTGGATTTCAGAACAGACTACAATTTGGATTTTTCCAGACACCCTTCCAGGATGTCTGGACTTTTTGTTCAGTTCTATATTTGGGTTTACCTCAAATTTTGATTTTCACTGATAAACCCGTGACCCAAATCCAAACCTCAGCTGAATTCAGTTTCAGCTTAAAACCACATGAAACTGTCACATGTCACGTGACTTCTAGCAGAAACCAAAGTGTTGTGCTTTTTCATGAGAACTATGCACTGAGATTTTTGAGATGTGAATACATCAGATACATGTWCTATATTTTCTGGGTATTATTGTCAAAGGTTGGTCATCGCCAGAGGGTTATTGTTGACATCTGCTCATTATAATATGTTGTTTTAGTCAGCATTTGTGTCACTGTGGCCAAAATACTTGACAAGAAAACTTAGAGGGGGAAAAATGTATTTTGACTCACGGTATCAGAGGTCTCAGTCCATAGATGGTTGACTCCATTGTTTTGGATCCAAGATGAGGAAGAACATGGTGGGGAAGGATATGACAGAGGACAACCAGGAAGCAGAGAAAAAGAGAGAAAGGGATCTGTGAAGGGTGCACCCTTCCAGGGCACGCCCCCAGTGACCCATCTCTTCCAGCCATGTCCCACCAGCCTACAGTGACCATCCATTTAGTCCATTCCAACCAGAATGGACTGATTAGGTCAGAGCTCTCACAATTCAATCATTCCACCTCTGATCATTCCTGTATTAGCAGCGAGCTTTGGGGGGACATCTCCTATACAAACCATAACGTATGATGTTAGAATGCAGTTTCTAGTTTCATTTACAGTTTTCACCAGTGGCCAACATATTTTCTCTAAGGACCCTGGAGTGGTCCATATATAGCCATACTGCAATAGAAGATTCTTGTATATGTAGATAAGGAAGAAGCATTTCAGTAAAAGCGCTGCTTTTGAACTATTCGATAACAGTAATGAGGACCTGTATACAGAACACCCCAGTGCTGTCTTCTTAGGGTGCATCCACTGTTCTCTGGTTTTGGTCTTTTTGTCATAGGATGGCAGTGGCTCTGTGTCTGCAGGTGCTGTGCAGTCTCTGTGGCTGGCTCTCGATCTATGCATCTTTCTGTCACCTGAATAAGCACCGAAGCTATGAGTGGAGCTGCCGACTGGTGACGTTCACCCATGGAGTCCTCTCTATAGTCCTTTCAGCTTATATTGGCTTCATCGATGGTCCTTGGCCTTTTACCCACCCAGGTAGGTAGAGGTCATTAGGGATCTTTCCATAGCGATTCATGATTTCGGGATAGTTTTAGAGGAATGGGATCAAGGTGGTGGAAGGTGTGTTGGTTTCTTCTGAGGCCTCTCTCCTTGGCTGGTAGATGGCTGCCTTCTCACATGGTCACCCTGCTGTGTTTGTGTGTGTGTCCTAATCTCTTATAAAGACATCAATCATAATGGATTAGGGAATCACCCAGATGACCCTGTTTGAACTGAGTTACCTTCTTAAAGGTCCCATCTCTAAATATTGTCACATTTTGAGGTACAAGAGGCTAGAGCTTTAACCTAAGAATTTGGGGAACACAATTCAACCCACAATTCCATTGGAATATGATTTTTTAAAATTCCATAGATTTTTAAAAAATTTCCTTAGATTCCCAAATTGAGTGTTCAAGTTTTCCCCAAATCTGTCAAATTGAGGTGAAAGGGTTTTTTAAGCTTTGTTTTATATAATGGTTCTTAATGGTTTCAAGCATATCAGATTCTTGCACCCTATGTGCTTGGACATGGGAATATCCTAATTTGGGGGGTTCTTTCCAGAGTCTGCTTTCAAAATGGTTAGTGCTGCTAGTATCCAATAACTTAATCCATTAAGTTAAGAAATTTTTCTGACATTTAGGACAGAATGACCCAAGTGTGGAAATAGATCTTTATCTGGTTAAAGAAAAGAGGAAAGCCAGGCATAGTGGCCTCTTGCCTGTAATCCCAGCAACTCAGGATGGCAAGGCAGTAGGATTGCAACTTTGAGGCCAGCCTCAGCAATTGAGTGAGGCTCTAAGCAACTAAAAATAATGTCTCAAAATAAAAAAATAAAAAAGGAACCTAAGCTCAGTGGTAAAGCTCCTGGGTTCAATCCCCAGTACCAAGAAAAAAAAAATTAAATTAAAAAAATAAAAGAGGAAAAAAATCCTTATTGATTTTAATTGGAAGAACATACTGACTTGATTTTATACTGTTCTATAGAGAGGACCCTGAGATTATTGACAGCAGAGAACACTCCTTGTTCTGATTCATTAGAATGGCATTTTCTGGGGCCAACATCATTCAGTTTGATAAAGATCAAGGTTTTAGATTTTAGTCTTTGTTGTTACCATTCAAAAGCTTGCGCCTGCCATAATTTTTTGAATCCTTCAGTGATTCTGTAAGGTTTGAAAGAACAATGTAGGATCACTGTGCAAGATGGCACAATCCCCAATTACTCAATTTGCTTCTGTCTTGGTTTGTTTCAGGCTCACCCAACACACCTCTCCAAGTTCACGTTCTCTGTCTCACCTTGGGCTACTTCATTTTCGACTTGGGCTGGTGCATCTACTTCCGGTCTGAGGGTGCCCTGATGCTGGCTCACCACACACTGAGTATCTTGGGCATTATCATGGCCCTGGTGCTTGGGGAGTCGGGCACAGAAGTCAATGCAGTCCTTTTTGGAAGTGAGATCACCAACCCCTTGCTCCAGATACGCTGGTTTCTCCGTGAAACAGGACACTATCACAGTTTCACTGGAGATGTGGTGGATTTCCTTTTTGTGGCTCTGTTCACTGGAGTGAGGATTGGTGTAGGAGCTCGCCTGCTTTTCTGTGAAATGGTCTCCCCCACACCCAAGTGGTTTGTGAAAGTCGGGGGAGTAGCGATGTATGCTGTGTCTTGGTGTTTTATGTTTAGCATCTGGCGTTTTGCATGGAAGAAAAGCATTAAGAAGTACCATGCCTGGAGAAGCGGGCGGAGTGAGGAACGGCAGCTAAAACATAATGGACATCTCAAAACACACTAGCCAAGGCTTGCTTCCGATATTGGATCGGACTGAATCAGCCATGGGAACTAGGTCGGAAATCTGACTGTCGTGGAATCACGCTCATAACAAATTTCAGTTTCAAAAAAGGGCTAAATTTATTGATCACTTTGGTCAGTCTTCAAGCCGAGCATATACAGTATTAAAACAGTAACTTCTACAATGGCACAGTTGTGGAAAGTGAGAATCCTCAGTGATTGCTGGGAAGATGTCAGGACCATGAGGTGAGAACTACTGGCGTTTTCAAAATACAGTGACCTTGGGTCCTCTTGTCCTTGGGAAGCATGATATTCAGATAGCCTTGAAAGAAACTGGAAGAAATTTAGTACTGTTTCTTGTTCCTTTGGGAATTTCTTCAGCATATACTTGTTCCTGCTTTTCATGTAGCCCATTTATTTAAGTTCATTCCATGTACTATAAAGTGAGGGACATTCAGGAAAAGATGTACATTTGGCATTCTGAGCACTGATCAGAGAATTGGATCTGCTTAAACAAAGGGTGATAAGAGGTGAGTGAAACTGGCAGTGGTAGGTGGTCACTTCCTGAACCTTCCTGTGCCCACTGTGTTGGAGGTCCCCAAGACTACCCCCTGGGTTCCATAATTCACTAGGAGGACTTAGAGGGCTCAACATACAGTCTCACTCACAACTTTGATTTATGATAGTAAAAGGATACAAAGTAAAATTATCAAAGGGAAAAGRCACCTGGGACCAAGGGAAACCAGACACAAACTTCTAGAGTCTTCTTCTATTTGGATCACACAGGATGTGCTTAATTCTTCTGGAAATATTTTGTGACAACTTATGAGAAATAKTGCCTATCAGGGAAAGTTATTAAAGACTCAGTGCCCAAGATTTCTAATGGCGACTGGTCATACAGGCAGCCTCTTGGCATGTAGCAAGATTCAAGATTCCCAAAAGGAAAACAGCATTCAGCACAAGCCCTGTTGTTTACACACACACACAAAAATAAGGGACAATGAGCCAGTCTTTTAAAATTTTATTATTATGATGATTATTATTTACTTTTTGGTATTAAGGATGGAACCCAGGGGGTCTTTTCCACTGAGCTATATCTCTAGCCCTTCTAATTTTGAGACAGATTCTTCCTTAAATTGCTGAGGGTCTTGCTAAGTTGCTGAGGTTGGCCTCAAGTTTGTGATCGCCCTGCCTCGATCTCTTGAATCACTGGGATAATAGGCATGTGTCACCATGCCCAGCTGAGCCAGGCTTATCAGTGAATGGTAAGAGCCCTTCATAATCTGAGTTCCCAGATGCCCATCAAGGGCCAACCTTGTAGGCCTTTCCGAGAAGAGCAGGTCGGGTCTGTTACATTAACTTTTTTTGCACAAAAATAAGAGCCAGAACTTTGGATATGAGATGAATGAGGTGTGGGTAGATTTACTGAGTCCTGTTGTACGGGTTTTGCCCAACCAGGAAAACTATGCCAGTTCTCGGGGCTTTTGTGCATTAATCTCCTAGGCATGAGAGGCCATGACTAAATTCCATAGGGATTTACCATGTGGATTCCACTGTGCTTGAGATGGGAGTTCAGGTTTCAGCTCTTTTTTTTTTTTTTTTTAACATTTATTTATTAGTTATTGGCGGACACAACATCTTTGTTGGTATGTGGAGCACTGAGTACGTGTTGCAAACTAGAACCAAAGACTTTTTAATGTGTGGCCTCAGGGTGATAAGGCTAATTTCTTTTCTTTTTTGCATTTCAGGTACGTTCCCTTTTAGTACTCTTACTACTTGTTGTCCTTTCTCTAAAACTGGTGCCAGTCTCTAAGAACAAACTAAAATGACAACGCCAGTCTTGGAAGGGAATTTTTTTTTTTTTAGTGTGATAATCTTTAATATCTCACATAGGAGGAACTTAAATACGAATTTAGAACAAGGGGTTAGGAATCAAGAATTCCTGAGTTTACTTTAACTGATTTTGCTATTCCCTTGCCAGATCATTTAAGCATGTCACTTGTCTACTCTTGTTCTCAATTTAAACCCCAGGTGAATGAATGAAATACTCTGTATTTCATAGAGATATTATGTGGCATTTTGTTAATGGAGGCCTTTAATGTAGGGTTTTTATGAAAAAGATGAAGTAGTATTTATTTATGTATTTATTGCTTATTTATTTTTACCATCTTATTTGACCAATGGTGATTGGTTGGTGAGTAAGCAAATGGTGCTACTGAAGTCAAGGTCAACAGGAAGTATCAGTCCATGGCCACTGGAGATACTAACCTAATAAGTGGTCTTGAAAATGAAAATCATTGGCCTCAGAAACGGGGACAGGGAAGGTCTAATACTGSATAAAGTTATTACTGCAAAGGAAAAAGTAACTTTAAAGGCACATTAAAACGACTGTAATTTAGTTAAAGAGTTTTGCTGGACATTGAAATAATCTGACAGATAGCGTCTCCACCTCTTTATGATTAGTATCCCTAAAATGTTGGTGAACTTCTTTCCAGCAAAATTGTGGGCAAAGTAGGATGTGGGGGAATGCTGATTTCAGCAAAAGCCTAGCAGAAAAGAGTGGCTTGGCGCATGAACTTAAAATAAAAAGAAAAAGCTGGCTCTTGAATTTTGGCACTCTGCAACCTGTTCCATACCAGACAAATGAATAGGCTTAATCTGGTACCAGTTCTTTTCTCCCTTACCCATCAGACGTAAAGGGATTGCAGATCTTGCTGTTGGGGTACTCTCATGGGAATGTGTTTGTTTTTGTTTCATAATGAGAAATCTGAATAAATGCTGGGTTGGGGGATCCCTCATTTCAGCTCTTTTGGTTTTGTGCTAATAACTGAAGAAATTTCTCTGGGAGAAAAGTGTGAAATGAAGATGACTCAGCAGTTAAGATGTTGAGTTTTTGCACCACAAGTAGATAAAGGGCTAATTAACCTGTGGTCTGGCCTGACAAAATGAAGTACTTATTTGCATTTGGATTACTATGTAATAATAACTAACACTGCTCAAGAAGGATTTATATTTCGATAAGATTTGTACTAAATTTTATAAAAAATAAAATAACATTTTATAAATTCAGAGTCTGCCCTTATGTCTTTGTTGAGTTTTGCCAAGAAGTTACRAAATAAATAAAAAGAGGAAAGAAGCCCAGTAGTTGCCTTTGACTTGTAGAGATGTTGATTCCTATTTACACTTACTGGAGAAATATCTCTAATCTGCTGTTTAACATTAATYATTCCTATAATATTTTTATTTTGGGGAGAGGCAATAACCAACATACAGAAAATAGTTTGCCAAAAGAGGAAGAACTTAATTCTTTCTAGTTCTGCCACCTGTTTGGGCAGTTCCCTTGAATATGATGATGTTGAATGGGTCCTTGAAGACAGGGCTTCTGGCCATCTCAAGGCCTGAACTTCCAGGGCCTATAACAGTCCTTGACACATAGTAGGTACATAATAAACATGCTGAAAAACTGGATGACAGAATGAGGATGTGGTTTAGAATAACTCCTATTGGAAAAACCTCTCAAAGAGTCTGACTAGTGGTCTGGGTCACCACTGTCACTTTTCTGGGCATAGGACTCTAACCCAAGGGAGGGTATTCTATGTGGGCCAGCTTGACTCTTCTGAAGAACTTTCATACACAGAGTCTTTAGAATAGTGGCTCTACCAAAACTGTAAGTTGTTGCTTTTATCACTAATGTTTTGTGGGTGATTATAGAGATTTTCATTATTAAAAAAAAAAGTGTAGAGGGCTGGGGTTGTAGCTCAGTGGTGGAGTGCTTGCTTAGCGTGCGTGAGGCACTGGGTTCACCACATAAAACACCACATAAAAATACTGTGTGTTCATCTACAGCTAAAAAAAATTTTAAAAGTGTAGTTCTGGGATGAATAACCATTAGTTTTTCAATTCTTCTTCTTCTTTTTTTTTTTTTTTTAACCATCTTCTGAAGCTTTCCCACAGCCTTCTTTGCTCACAGCTAGAACCTTAGGTCTGTTAAGTTTGGAAGGATCTTGACAGCCCTTTGCCAAGAGGTTTTGTATGCAAGGAAGAGAAGGTGAATTAGGAAACTTTCCCAGTTTGTTTTATTCCTGAAGCTTAAGTACTGAGGCACACTTGAATGGAAGATGGGAACTAATTTTTAAAATGCATTTGATGAGTCATGGGGTCCAATTCTTTCCATATGTATATTGTAACATTGTTAGAATAAGGGAAAACAAGACATTTAGTACATTTATGGACAATTTCTTAAGATAGGGGATAAGGTGTGTATTTTGCCGAATATGGACCAATGGTGAACTCATTCTAGTTATGTATAGAAACAATTTAACTGGGAGTCTCCAGAATAGAATTGTCATGTTGGGATGCACCAGCAGGTGGCAATGTGTCCAGGTCTAATCATAGGAAAGTGGCTTGGAACCCTAATCTGCCTCTATTCTTTCCAAAAATAAACATTACAAAATTAGCTGGCTGTGCCCTGAACTTTAAAAAAAAAAAAAAAAAATCCAGCAAAAAGAGAGTCATCATTGGCTCTGTTTATCTTTTCTATTTTTTTTTTTTTTTTTTTTACCCCTTTCGAACGTCAGCTTGAACTCATGCATCTATTCAGGGATAATGATCCTTTCATGAACTGTTGTGGAATGACTTTTAGAAACAGCATTGTTAAGAGGTAATTGTTTCCTCTCTCCACATCCACTGTTTATTAGACTGGATTTCCACAAAATGGCTGAAAGTCTCTTTACCACCGATGCAGGTTTAATCTCAGAAGTCAGAAAAGAGTTGGATAAAAGAGATAGCTACTTTACACAGGAAGATTGGAGAACTATATTTGTATGTGGTACTCCAATTGTCACAATACTGAATAATTTCATCATAAAACTAGATAGTTATCTAAAGTGTCTACCCTGTACAGAAAGAAACCAGAACAATAATTAAAATTAAGAAGGCTTCAGAGAGAACCGGATGCTATTTACTGAATATTTATACTTTATTTTCTTCTCTCTCTTTCCACAACAAGCTTGTTAAGTCGCTATGGAAAACACCATGCTTCCTTAATTTGGCAAATAATACACTTCGTTTTGCCAAGGCAAAACAGCCTAAAAGCAATATTTATACCAAGAAACGCTGGCCCTAGTCCCCAAATCCTTTCTTGCCAGCCCTCCGGGCCTCCCTCTTCCAGCCCAGCACTGGCAGCCAAGGCTTGTGCGTGAGGGCCCCCTTGGAGGAGGAGGCCAGCAGGTGCCTCAGGTGAGCGGTCATCGCCAAAACTTGTCTAGGCTGAGGTTTGTTCCACGAGAGAAGGAGGCACCCGGACCTGAGCTCGCGTCCAGCAGTCAAAAGCATTTGATAAATGTTGTCAGGAAATATGAATAAGTACATCCTCCTCAGGAATAAAAGTTTCCAGGACAAGTGGGGCGGATAATATCAAAGACCCTACATCGTGAACTCCTTGGGATTGGAGGGAATGCTCCTTGAAGGTCGGCTGTGTTAAAGCCGACTCGGTGCAAGTCATTTTCGAAGGTGCACACCCCAAGCACTCAGAGGGCCGGAGAAACGAGGCGCCTTGGGTGGGAGTCCCAGGACCAGTGGGCTGCCACTTCCCTCCGGCCCGCAGAACTACTTTTTCGGTCCCTCGAACAGGGCTCGGCGGAGGCGTCCGCGCGAGGGCGGCGCGAAACCGAGACGGCGCGCGGGCGGCGGGTGCGGGGCGCCGGCRGCGCGGCGGAGGGATCCCGGTGAGGCGGCTTCCCGAAGTCAGAGGGGAGGAGGCCCAAAAAGTCGGCGGGGGAGGGGACGAGCTTGCTCCTTCGCTCGCTCGCGCAGGACGCGCCGGGGCCAGGGAAGACAGAACCGGAACCGGAACCCCCGCGCGCGCTCGTAATTGTCGCGCGGCCCCCACCGCCCGCGGCCTCCTCCGCCCTCCACGCGCGCTCCCGTGAGGGCCCCCAGGACCCGGCGTGCCGGCCTTGCGCTGGGA